CACACACACACACATACCCCCCACACACATGATAATGTATGTATCCTCATTCAAGCGGTAGATTCGTTCGATCAAGCTCATCCTATCGATGAGAGTAGCGGAAGGCAAACGCGAGTTGAAGACTTACCTGCTCTATCTCTACTCGTCGTCGACGTCACCGTCTCTGTCGTTGACAGCTGATGGTTTTCCGTTCCGCATCAATGTGCAGCATTCCGTGACCATCGCACGGATCTCGGCCGGTACAAGCCCGTGTTCCAACATGTCGGCCGCGTGATGGGCAAGTCGCCTTTCCCCTTTTTTTCCTTTCTCCTCCTTTCTTCTAGTTTTTTTTTTTTTTTTTTTTTTTTCTTCTTCTTCTTCTCCTTCTTCTCGTGCCTACTACTTCTGCGCGCGTGCTGCTTCTTTCTGGCTGCGCCTCTCTTCCCTCTGTTCGCGCTACCTCCCCGTTGTCATCTCCGTCGGCCAAGGGTGCACTACCCCGCTGCTTCCGCTGCGTGGCCATCTTCTCCTCTCCAGCGTGCGCAACCTTCGTTTTCTTCGACCCTTCGCTCAAGCACTTCCACACACTTTACTCCTCTCCTTCTTCCCCTTCTCTCTATCTCCTTCTTCTCTCCACCCTCTTTCTCCCCTTCTTCTTCTTCTTCGCGTGACCACCTTCTCCCTCTCCGCGTCTTCCGCCCCTTCTCCTTCACGCGACTTCCCTCCTTCCCTCACACTTGTCTTCTCCGTAGTTGTTCACCTCGTTAGTCGCCTTCCTCGTTCGCATCCCCGAGCCCCTCGTCCATGCGCAGTCTCCTCCCGCTATTGCGCGCGAGTTATCGCTCTCCACCTTTCCTTCTCGCACGGTCTCCTAGCTGGTCTAACAGACCAGGGCGGGCCTTATTTGACTAAGGTAGTCGCAACCACTGCCGAATGAATCTGCCCTTGCATTAGCGGCAAATTCATTGAAAACTTTTATACCCACAGGTCACGTAAAAAAAAAAAAAAAAAAAAAAAAAAAAAAATCTAAGAAATCAAATAAAATAGAAAAAAAACAAATAAGAAAAATGCAAATAGGATCTATCTGCTAACTGCCCCGTTCTGCCAACTGTCACAATGGGCTCTTACTACAACTTCTCCCGATCTCGAGGTCGCGGGCTCGAGTCCCGCAACCAAACTCGGGGTCGGAAACAAGATGCCCATGGGCTATAACTGAGCTCCTACCAAAAGGAGCTAGTCCCCAGGCAGGCGGACTCAATCCTCGAGTCTGTTGCTTGTCAATTGATACGGAAACCTACTGGGCTAGCTCCTGCTTTGAGTAAAACAGGAGAAGTCCAGATATAAGTAGAAGAATGGGGACTCCGCCCACCTAGTGGCCCAAGCCCATCTCTAAGTCTGAGTGTGTGTACGCTTGCTGATCCGCATGCCTGTCAGAGTGCCTTTCGGCCTGAGTGTGGGTGTGACCCGCAAAGGACACTTGTCCATTTGAGAGGCCCCATAGGGCCGGTACTTACCTGTGGTCGTGACATTGAGGGTTGCAGTGGGGGAAACACTCAGGTGGCGGGAAAGAGAAGCCCGCAGCACTTAGTAGCGGAAAACACTTAAGTAGCAGGTCGGCCGGTACAACACCTAATAGAGGTAGATGTACCGAGTACTCTAAGCTGAGCCGAGGAAGACAAACATTGACATTTTTAGATGCCCAGTACCAGTAGGTAGACAGGTTACCAGGCCAAGTCTCAGTGTGTGTCGTAGATCTACCCGACACAGTATTAACCCAATCAATCGACCTTTTCGGTCCAAGGGTATTACTACTAATTTTAACCATCAGAGCGCATGTCATAAGAACGCGCGAGCATATTCTCAAAATTTTCTCACTGATTCGCCCCGGCCTCAATGGCCGAAGAAATCGTTCCAAGTGTCACTCCAAAGCGCGTACACCTTTCTCATTCAGACTGGCTCCGTCTGTGTCGAATGCAAAAGCATGGCCAAATACCTTTGTAAGGGCATTTGGTCCAACACCGGCCCCCAACCTTTTTGGGGATTTTTGGGATTATGCAGACTTGGTTCTTCGGTGTAAGTGTGCCCTCTGTTGGTACACCCGTGAACTGTTCAGATTCAGACCTAAGTTCGAATCCAGACAGAACAAGATGACCAGACCAAAATCGTTCTGAATTACCTGGAGCCGGTCAGTCCAATGATGATATCCAGGCAGCTCACCTGGCTCTCCCTTTCTCAAGGGCTGCAGGTAGGGCACCTAAGGGGCTCGCCCTGCCTTTGTCAAGGGGCACTTTCAAATGCAGCGAATGAGACCCTGAATCTGGCAGCATGCATAGGGCCCCATGGGCAGAAACCGCACTAGCGGGACGACAGCATGGGGCAAGGTCCCACTTGTGCAAATTAGCAAATTTCGGCCGTTGATCTTTGCTATCTACGGTCAGTATCTCTTAATTCGTGCAAGTGGGACATAGTCCCTAGGGAGACGGGAGGCGGAACTGTTCCTCTGCAGAAGCCAAGGTCCCACTTGCCTGTATTCTTGAAATTGAATAGTTCCGACTACGAAAATCAATGCCCTGAGACACAAAAGCGTTGTGTTAAGACTATCTAGAGGAGAGAAGAATGTAGAAATAAAAAAAAATAAAAAAAATCGTTGTGTTTAGAGAAACAAAAAAAAAGAAGAAAAAAAAAGAACAGTTGTGGGCCGAGATTCCGACATCGGGGATCAAGAGTTCCTGACCGTAGATGACGAAAATCGAAAGTCGATATCTCTCAATTCGTGATTCTGGAATCTTGCACGCCGCGACACGTGGAACCTTGCCCGAAGAAAATGAAAGGGGGACAGTCAAAAACAAACAACACCCCACAGTGGGTACCCTTTTCACCCGAATAGAACGCCCCATAATTATTGCCGTATCTGGACTGAAAGTTGAACCAAATACAGATATAATAACCGGGCGTTCTATTCGGGTGAAGACGGTAGTCAATGGCCTATCAGGCTTATGAAAAACAGAGGGGAAGAACAGTAGGCACTATCAAGCTTTCACATGATGATGGGAATGTTTCATGCGTCCTGTCATTGAAACCCACTACATCGAAAGTCGAACACAGAGCACCGTCCGGACCCCGACAACACGGCACTGTTCGGCTGTGCCATCGATCCCGTCAGACTGCGGTTTCCGAACAGACGCTGGAAATCTTTTTTTCTTTTTTTTTTGCTTTTTTTTTACAACGCTGGAAATCGCAGTCTACGCGGCCTGTAGCGTCAGAAAGCAGATTTTGACGACAAATGAGGTTCGAGCAACAGATCTAGAATACTTCTCTCAATTTATTATTATTATTATTATTATTATTTTATTTTTTTTATTTTTTTTTTTTAATAACTTTTCTCAATTTCACCTCACCTATCGACGATACAGACGGGAAAATCATACATCATAACGATGATCCACTGAACAGGCACACTGGTGGTCGCTCCACTACTCGTCAAATGTGCAAATCGAGAATGGATCTTTCGCTAGAACATGGAAAGATTCGCCGCCATGTTCCTTGTCGTTCTTACCTGTGGTGACTACCGGGGGCTAGGTCCCACTTGCACGAATTAAGAGATACTGACCGTAGATAGCGAAGATCAACGGCCGAAAACTCCTAATTTGCGCAAGTGGGCCCTTGCCCCGGTAGAGAAGCGAGGCCAACGTACATACAAGCCGTCCAAAAGTCCGTCAGCGTCCGAAAGCCCGAAGAAGCCTCTAAAGGTTGCCGAAGTAACAGGACACCCTTTCAGGCCATGAAAAGCCGCATACGGAAAAGAAAAGAATCTGGCGCGACCTCGAAAAATGGTCGCTGCTCTGAATAGGAAAAAAAATACTGTGGTGTTCGTTGAGCCGAGAGAAGGTTAGCATCTCCCTCGATAAGGACGGGAATAGTCTACGGACTATATGAACACATGCGGTTTCGGCTAGCCCCCTCGGGCGGATCCAACCCAACCCCCCCCAAAAAAAAAAAAAAAAAAAACTGTGAGCAGAAATGGAGGTAGAAAAGGTACGCGCAACATCCCACTGACGTCTCGACGCTCCCTCAATTCATAGAAGTAGACTCTCGCACGACCAGTCAGGAAGGGAGGGGGAGAGGGTGGTGTGACCAGAAAGGGAAAAGGAGAGGTTGGAAAGGAGAGCGGCGTAGAGGAGAGAAAGAGGGAGGCGGAGAAGGAGAGCGAAGATGTGCGGAGGAGGAGGGACATGCGCAGACGCAGCGCAGACGAGAGACAGAAGATGGTGAAAGGAACGGGAAGACAGAACTTGAAGAAATAACCTGCATGACATTGCTTTTTTTTAAAAGCACCATGTGCATGTGACACTGCGTTGGCTTTTTTTCAAAAGCACCATGTGCATGTGACACTGCGTACGTCCAAACATTGATACGAATCTGAAAACATGGCGTTGTGAAGGCGAGGGAGGAAACCCTTCGTTTCTGCACACAGCTCTGCAAGCGTCCGCCCTCTCAGGGAAAATAATCGCCGCCATGCACGGAACTACGCAGCAGAATTCGCCTAACGGGTTTCTTTCGCCCCACTCGTTCACTTGTGGTGGTCAAAATTGTGTGCGACTTCTCTGTCACTCTTCTCAGATACTCACCTGCACTTTCTTTGTCAGGCAGCGGAACTAAGCTATAAGCTCTCTCACTCATGCTCACTCACTCTCACTGAACGATGCTAAATCCAATAACCTACCTGCCAAACACCGAAACTCAGCTCTCTCTCTCTCTCTCACACACACACACGCACACACACACACACGCACACACACACACACACACACACACACACACACACACACACACACACGTTCGGAAAGCAAATCTAACGAGCGTAAAACTTTCTGTCGGTGGTCAATTCCCCCCTGAGCTCTCATTTTGCACAGAAACGAGACTTCGGCGACGAAAGCACTAAACCCTAAGATTCTAGAACCGAAAATGTCGGCGAAGAGTTCCGGTCGCTATCACGAGGAAGAGGTTTGTCCTCCAGCACAGAAACTTCTACAATTTTACTCTTCCTCCACCACACCTGGCCGTTTTGGCACCTTCCGCTTCCACTTTTCCACTCTTCTACATTTCAGGGACTGTCCGAATACTGAAACGACGCTCTCAGACGTATACCCTTTTTTCTCAATCATGGGTGCGTGTCAGACCTAATTGCGCAGGGCCCATGCAAATCTTCCCTGTATGCGTCACCACAAACGTACGTCTTAGGTATTCTCTCTCAGGGGGCAAAGCCATACGCATACGTGCTACTATGCGTGTTCACTGTACACACTACACAGTTTTCCTTCCTCCGCCTCCCTCGGACCCCACCGCCCCTTCCCCCCCCTCCCGTTGGCCGTCTCGGTAATCCACGGCCTTGCCTCAAGGAAACGCATTGCGGCCACTCAAACACGGACTACATACGATATTCAATCACCCTCCTCTCCTACGCAAGCGATACCGAGTGAGATCATTTTCCGCCCCAGCAGCGAAGCCCTCGTGCCGTTATGTTTTCTCAGCAGCAAGGCACAGCTTGGTCTGAAGCATACCTTCCTTTTTGTTTTTTTCTCTCATAACAAACTGAGTCTCTCGAATTTCTTCATCGTTACGAAGTTACCAACTGCAATCTTGCCCGATCCACACCAGGGACGCTCGCTTCCTTGATGCCTCCGCCGTCGGGCGCTTACCCTTGACTGTCTTTAGCCACAGAAAAGCTTTGCTGGCAGCACTTCCACTGTCTTACCCGCCAAAACAATTGTTTGGGCTACCGGTAGTTCCTCTGCCTTTACCCGCCAAAAAGATGGCTCGCAGTAGTAGCAGCAAGTTCATCGTGAAGTTTCTTCTCGCAGCTCGCTATTCTCCGATCGAGTCCACACGAATCCGATCGAGAGTTGCACTTCTTCTGGGGCTTCGATTACAGAAGCGCCCCAAACTCATCTTTAATTGCCACAAATTTGTGTTAATCACCATAAACTTGAGTATCCCTAAGCCGAAGAAGCGCACACTCTGCTAGCCGCCGCCGCCGCATCCGTTCTCAAAGTTAACGGCTCTCGAATCCAGACGAATCGAGAAATGCGAATCACCTACACTGTGTACTGCCTGGGAACTTTTTGCAAATTTGGCCAATGGAAAGTTGTTCCGGAGAAATGCAGAAACGCACAATCGCGGCGAAAAAAGAAATTGGGAATTGGAGCAAGAGGAGAGAAGAGGAAAGAATGGGGGGAAGAGAGAGGGAAGAGAGGACGCGGCAAATTCGAAATTATTGCCGCCGCGTCTTGAACGGCCCCCAAAACACACCGTATCTGTTGCATAAGGCTATCCTCGACAGGACCATTTCTCCGGACCTCTCCTCGCCATCAATCTCTTTTCTGCTCCCGGTTGTAATCGTCGCTTCCCCCCTACGTGATACTCTGCGGCAGAAGTGGTGGTGCTATTCCCCCAATGCATCCATTGGAAGAGCCTAAAGCGGGAGATAGTCGAAGAGACTCTCCTCTGTTGCCATCTCCATTAACTACAAACCGCCCTAACGTCACAAGCTCTCCTATGTACGTGATCCGTCGGCATCGCCACAGATTCGTAAGAGCCGATGATTGAATCCCTCCTCCCCCTTCTCTCTCTCTCTCTCTCTCTCTGTGAATGCGCGTGTACCCCCATCCATCCTATTCATAACTGGGTTTGCATTTCCAGCTCAAATTTTTTATATCACTTGGCGGGAAATTCGACAACATCCACAAGTCTCCTGGACTGATCGATCCAGTGCCTAACCAGGTCGAGCGTGGGTTGCCTTCTTGTGACACGCCTCTCCTCATTCAGGGCCTTCATTTTCTGCAGCAACTCGTTCCCCTCTCTGTATCGCAGCTCACGCACAGTGCTCACGCCTGTCTGTTTCAGGAGCTCCGAGAAGTGTGGGCCAAGCCCCTTGATCCTGAACAGATCAGCGGTTTTCACCCAATCGAGCAGCACCTGCAACGCAGCACCCACACGGTTGGACACAAAATCAAGCAAAGACACAATACCCATTCGTCAGCCTCCCTTTAACAGTGCACTGCGTGACAACAAAAACAACCAGAGTCAATTACAACCAACTACAAAAAACACGATGAACGTATCCTCTGCAGTGCAGAGAAATGGCGCTCAGATAAGTGTCTGCCAGATTGATAGAGCTGTTTGTAACTCCCTCGATCCAACAACACAGCCATATCCCATCGACAAGTTTCCATGCTCAAAATGAGTGTTCCTTTACCTTCACTGAGTAGTCGATCGATTTCCTTCACCCCCCCACCGTAGCTCCCCCTTCCCCCCACTCCTCTCCCCTTTCCACAATTTTTCTTTTTGGAAGGTAGACGATTCTTTCTCGCAGGAGTAGAGAATCCTCCTTTTTTTTTTTTTTTTCCCCATTTGGCGAGTGGTGGACCGACGGTCCTGAAGTCACTCTGGCAAGTCGATCTGTGTGAGTATGTGTACACTAAGAAACGCTATGAGAGTGCAGACGATGCCGATTCTGATGATACAAACAACTTTAACAAAGTTGGACCTTGCATCAGAGCCAACGGTCGTCCATCAAGCACAGATCGGTTAAAAATAGAGAGAAGCAGATAAGACAGGACAGCATATCCCTACGGAGCCAAAAGGTGCGATAATATTTTTGCAAAGTTAAAGAGTAGCTTAGCTAGTAAAAATCAATCCACTCGCAGACGAGTAGTGCAAAAGGCCGTCAGCGGCAAAATGTCCAACGCGAGGAGCGATTTCGAAACAGAAGCAATTGACTCGTACATTTCAACATATCCCAAAAAAAGACAGTTAAGTTGACGTGGAACTTTTCTTTTTCCTCTTTCTTTAAGAAAAAAGGCATAGCATTCACACAGACGTCGACAACGGGGAGTAAGAACCGCGACCGTCCTTCCTAAGAAGATGAACTGATTTCTAAAAATAGCAACAGACGTCAGTGCGACGAAGTCGAAGACATCCGAACAAAATTGACGTACGAGGAAGAACACATCCATAAAGCAAGAATTTGAAAAACGCGCGAGAGATGAAATGCAAGACCTACTACCTCCAGAGAACGACCGAGACATTCAAAAGCATCAGCACCCTGGGATTGCCCCAAACCAACCAGAATGTCGATCAGTAGATTGGCAATTTGGCACTAAATCCAACGACTGAAACGAATCGCAGGCATCATCTGACGTTGAGAAATCTCGCCTCTCTCAAAGCGTCTTCCTGGAAACGAACACATCTGACTCAGCACTCCTCTCCTCGATAGAATGCAGCACATCACTTATCCTAGGATAGATTAGCGGTGCGACGCTGTCGCAAGCTAATCACAACAGAAGCGGATCATGACAGCCAGAAGCCCACGGAGAGGTCAACGACGAGGAAGCCCACGAGGCACAGAAACACAGATTCGATCGAGATTCGAGATGCCATAGGCGAAGAGTGCATCGGGGGAGAGAGGTAAGCAACGTGGCCGTCGTGACGACTATACGGCGACGTTACAGCAGGAGCAACGCCAGCAAATCCATGATACGCATCGGCTTGCACTACGGCCTTATCCCGAACACAATGCACCATCATCATGATTCGGTACAGCCTATATCATTCCAGTGCTGTGCAGCCGTGATGAGGTTGAGTAAGGCCTTATCCCGAACACAATGCACCATCATCATGATTGGGTACAGCCTATATCATTCCAGTGCTGTGCAGCCGTGATGAGGTTGAGTACGGCCTTATCCCGAACACAATGCACCATCATCATGATTGGGTACAGCCTATATCATTCCAGTGCTGTGCAGCCGTGACGAGGTTGAGTTGTGCTCGGATGAACACTGTCGGCGATAGGATCTCGGGAAGCCAGACGGGCCAGTAACGGCTGCGGCTGAACACTCCAATTTCTGAACCGAACGGTTCTCATATCGGTCATTTTCTAATTGGCATTTAAAGACGAACAGAACAGAAAAAAAAAAAAAAAAAAAAAGACTGGTGGCGGGGCAATACTCTGTGGAAAAGACAATCCGCCACTTAGATGAAGGTGGCAGGAGCG